TTTAGATTTCTTGAATACATTGGATCATTTTCATTTGTTTCATTTTATTCCTAGCTTCCAAAATTATGTTGCTTCTGTCTTATCTCCTATTCTCTCAATCCTTCTGTGTTTATTGCTTTTTTTCTGTCATTTTCCTGGGGTTTTGACAGGTGATCAAAATAGACGCATTTGTTAAAATCAGCATTATTACTTAAAAACCCTTTTCTTATTTTCTTAATTAAGATCATTTCTTTTTGTTGATTCTTAATTTGGGATCATTTTAGAATACTCTATTTACATTATAGATGATTTACATACAGATTCACTATTGATTAAGTCTAGGAATACAAGTTTTCTACCAATCCATAGTACTGGAAATTTTAATATTTCCTCTGTTAATTAGAATCTGAAATGCTTTCTTCATGGAAGGTAGATTTTTTTTTGTGGTGAACATTAGGGAAGATTTCGAACACCTCTTTAAGAGGCCTCTGGTTTTTTTAGTTCTAAGAATTTATATTTGGAGATTTTAGGTTAACGATTGTTCCTTAGGATAAAGTAATAATGTACAGATTAAGATTTTGTGTTTTGGAGTTCAACAGATAAGAAGTTCTAGTACGAACTCAATTTGACCTGGAGATCCTAACACTTATAAACTCAGTTCTCATCTCTAAAATAGCACTAACAGTCCTTAACACATAAGGTTATTTGGGTGATTAGTTGAGAAATGTGGTCAGCATGCTTAATATACCACAGGAATATGAGAAACAGTCAATAAAAAAATAATGATTTTCATCATGACAAAATGTAGTAGAGGGCATTCTTAAAGAATATGGGATTTAAATACATATTTCCAGGGTTTAAATCTTGGTTCTGTCATTCATTTAAAGCCTTTCTTACAAGAATGCAGTATAACTGATGTGGTGGTTATGTTTGTGCATCAACTTGGCTGGGTCTGGTTGAGTGACTGGGCATCTGGTGATAGTTATTCCCCATGATGAGACTAGCAATCAGCTCCATGGTGGGATCTACCACAAGCAGCTGAATAGCTGTTTTGGGTATGTGGTCTGCTTCCCATGTATAAGAAGCAGTTTTGGGAATGGTGTCCAGCTTATGGCATGCTAGGACCCTGCATGTAGCCATATAATTGTTCAGCAGCCTGCCATGCTCTGCCAACCTTGGACTTACAATGGACTTAAATTAATGGCCTGCCGTGAGGTTTGGTAACATCGGGACTGTGCCTTTTTACTTGTCAACCTTGGGCTTGTCAGCCTCAGCAGCCAGCAGCTGTCTGAGTAAAGAAACACCTCTAGCTCCAGTGGGCCAGGAGCAAGAGGCAGAGCCGGACCCCCAGGTGGAGGGGTTTTCATTCAGCCCCGAGAGCCTGGCAATTTGAACTTGGACTTAAAGCCTCCAAACTATGAGAGAATAAACTCCTGTTTGTTAAGGCCATCCCATTTGTGGTATATTCTTGTCAGAGTGATTCGTTAACCAAAACAGAACATGGTAGCAAGAGACTGGGGGCTGCTATGACAGATGCCTAAAATGTGGAAACAGGAGTGGAGTGCGTCCTTGACCCAAGACCCTGGCAGAGAGATCCTGGCATATGGCATGACAGACGGCAGGAGCAGAGCAAGAGACTGGCATGAGATACAGCAGGGGCAGAGCCCAGAGACCGGCATGAGAGATGGCAGGAGCAGAGCTGAGAGAACCAGCATGAGACAGTGACAGCCTTATCAGGCCATAGAGGAGAAAGCTTGATGCCTTTGGTTAGGCGGCTTACTGGCAGAGTGGGTTGCCTTTGGGTGTTAATTGGTAGAGAAGACTGGCATAAAATGGAGTAGCAGGTTGGCCGGCCCACGGAGCAAGAAAGCTGAGTATTTTTAGAGCAGGAAGATTTCCTGTGGAGCAGGTTTCCTTCAGCATTAATCAGCAAAAGCAGAGAGACCAAGGAAATGGAAGCAGAGCTGCCTCAGCCTGAAAGGGTAGGACCATGGCCTTTGGGGGTGGAACAACCACAGCCCCCTAGGTTTCAAAGAGTCAGGCCTTCAACAACTTGGTTCTGGAGTGTGGGGCTGCTCATTCATGTGAGCCAGTGAGATGGAGCCATAGCTGCTGGCAAAAAGTGAGGGGCAAGGCTGCCATGCCTATGAGGGAGGGGAATGGGCTCGCCGGGCCAAGCGGATGAGGTCATCACTCAGGACCTAGGGGACTGGAGTCACCCAGTGGAGGAGACCTGTACAGATACCACCCACTGAAGATCTGTACAGGTGCCAAGTTGACAAGGGGTGGAATTGTGGTGGTTATATTTGTGTGCCAATTTGGCTGGACCACAGTTCTGTGTGTTTTAAGCAGTTGTGATACAGCTATTCCCATGATGGGATCAGATGTATATGTT